AAAGATTCCCATGTGTGGGGCTTATCCCCAGAGATTCAGATTTAATTGGTCCATAGTAGACTCTAGCATTTAGGTTGTAAAAGCTCCCACATGTGGCCTATAATCCCAGCACTTTGGGAGGCTGAGGTAAGAGGACTGCTTGAGGCCAGGAGTTTAAGACCAGCCTGGGAAGCATCGCAAGATTCTGTCTGTACAAAAACTTAAGAAATTAGCCAGGCATGGTGGTATGTGCCTAAAGGCACTTGGGAGAACGATGCTGGAGGATTGCTTGAGCCCAGGAGTTTGAGGCTGCAGTGAGCTATGATCCTGCCACTGTACTTTAGCCTGAGATGACAGAGCCAGATTCCTCTCTCAAAAAAAAAAAAAAAAAAAAGACCAAAACAAGGATTCCAGGTGGTGTTTGTAATGTGCCCTGAATTCAATTGCTGCTTCTCAAACTTTAACATAAATTACCTGGAGATTTTGTTAAAACGCAAATTCCGATTCTCTAGGTCTGGGGTGGGGCCTGAGATTCTACATTCCTAACAAGCCCCAGATGAATGAAGCTGGTGCTGTCAGTCTGGGACCACACTCTGGGTAGCAAGTGACTGATGATCCATAACGGTGGTTCTCAAGCTCCAGTATTCATCATAAAAACCCATGGGCTAGTTGAAAATATAGCACTGGAGCCTGGGGCTGGCCTTCCCAGGGTCTTTTTCTCTTGGTTTAGGAAGAGAGCTAAGAGAGTTCCTAGCCTATAATGTCCATTTTAACCTAAAAATCTCATGATGTTAATTTTGTGATTTTATAATATGTCTTCTCTTCCAGTTCAATCGTTCACTACAAAATTACAGAGTCTGAAGTTGAGTGTGTGGAGTAGCATTGTCAGAAACGTGAAACACGGATGAGCTCAAATTATGTGATGCCAAGACATGTTGATATTTGAAGCCATGTGTATCTCTAACCTCTGGAGTTCTCCTTTGCAGTTAAAGGGGACTTCCGCAGAACTCCCTTCGTGTTAGGATTTACCATCGGCAAACGACTCACTGGTTAGTCAAGAGAGCCTCCTTCACCAACAGGAGGCAAACAGGATGACCCTGTACATTTTCTGCTCTCTGCAACACAGCATACCTTCTAAAGCAGAATCATGAAAGAGGCAGCAGATCTCCCCCATCTTGAGGTCAAACCAAGGGAAAATGGAGGTGGGAGAAGATAACAGGTTCTTTATTCAGAAGAATAGACCAGGCACCTTTGAAAACCTCGGGGACTTCCAAAAGAACTTGTCTCATGATAAATTGCCTTTTTCCTTCTTTTTCTTCTCACCCTCCTGGATTCCTCTTGCTTTAACTAGCTAAAACATCCTCTATTCAAGGAAAGGCTATTGCCACTTTCCAAGAAAAATCTGAAAAACCAACCCTGTGGGGATTAAAAGCAAAATTCTGGCATTGTTGCTTTGGATAAATATTTTGCACATGACTAATACGGAAGGTGTTATCTTCCTGGAACTTTATGAATTTCTAAATAAATTGATATGAGGCTGTCATGTGGGAAATGAGAGAGAGGAACTCAGATTTTCTTGCTTTCCCCTTTAAAAACATTTGCATCTGTAAAAACGCTTGATCAGTCAACAGAAATATCTGCATGACAGTGAGAATAGACCACTCAAAAACGCAATAATCACACAACAGTTTAGCCAACCAAGCCTTAGGTCACCCAAGTTTTAGATACTTAATCCCATATTGTACTTTCAACTGGGCCTTCTTTTTAGAACAAGTTATCAAAATGGGGCTACTTGGCCTTACTAATATCCTCTGCACTAGCTGGACTGGCTGAATAGAGAACTGCCATGTGGAGTGATTCAGCAACAGCATGAGACCCTAATTGTCTCAAATGTGTTTCTCAAGAGCTGGCCACCAACTTGCCCTCCTTTACTGGTCCTCGGGGCCTTGCCATTGGTTAGATACAAGCTCGAGTCAGGCCAATGTATGCATCTGGTTTGGATGGGAAGGGTGCAGGCCATGGTACTCAGGCCTTCACCCATCCACTGTTCCTTTATTAGGTCTAAGGTCTAAGGGGTGCTGGTTGTCCAGGACAGACTGTGGAGTCTGTGCAAAGGGGAGGGAAGCTACAGTGGAGGAACCCATGCAAGGCAGTGACAAGCCCCAAGTAATGGTAAAAGCAGAACTTGAGAAAGGAGCCTCCCAAGGTAATAGGTCCTGTGTGCTGGGGATCTAGGGAAGGTGTTGGAGGGAGAGGGGCTCTCATTTTAAAATGAAATGAAGGACAAGACAGATGGGAAGCAGCAGGATGAGCTATTTTTCAGTTTTGCCCTGAGTTGGGTTTTGACAAGACAAGAAATGAATCACTGCATTTTTAAATGTATTTAAAATTTCTATTTTTTTATTGCTAGAAATAGGTTTAACTTTTATCAGACCACATTTCTTGTTTGCAAGGCAGTGGCTTCATTGTGAAGTGTTCTGTTTGTTGTTTGTTTTTTTGACAGAGTCTTACTCTGTCTCCCAGCTGGAGTGCAATAGTGTAACTCCCACTCACCGCAACCTCCGCCTCCTGGGTTCAAGCGACTCTCCTACCTCAACCTCCCGAGTAGCTGGGATTACAGGCATGCCACTGCGCCTGGCTAATTTTTGTATTTTTAGTAGAGATGGAGGTTTCACCATGTTGGTTAGGCTGGTCTTGAACTCCTGACCTCCGGTGATCCACCCACCTCGGCCTCCCAAAGTGCTGGGATTACAGGTGTGAGCCACTGTGCCCGGCCCATTATGAAGTTTTAAATAGCAGAGGATGGCCTTTTGCCCAGGATTTTTACTTTATTGATTTGCTCGTGTGTAGCGTTTCTTTTGTGGCAGACACTGTTTTAAGCACTTTAAAATCTTACCTCATTAATTCTCTTAACAACCTATGAATTAGGAACTATTACTGTTTCCATTTTACAGAGGAGACTGCAACCACTATATCATCCTGCCTCTAATGTTGAGGACAATATTCCTGTTCTGAGGTGGAAGAAGAGAAAATGGGATTAGGTGTGCTGGTTCGTAAATGCTGTCACTAGACTGATGAACTGGCTAGGTAGTCATCCCTGGAGCTCTTGCTTGAAATGCAAATTTACAGGCCTTACACCGGGATGTCCGATTCAGGAAGACTGGGGGTTTTGAAACACTGACCTAGACAATGTGTGGGGGAACCCTTGCCCTTCCTGCAAATCCAGGAATCCTTGATTGAAACATCATCTGATTAATATGAATGTGACTCCAGGGAGCAACAGTAGCTTATGCTGCCACCTCCCATGCATTTTCTAGTCCTTCCAGCTCCGGTGTCTAAACCACAGTCACTGATGGTGACAGTTCTGACCACTCCACCCCCAGCTCCATCTGCTGACAACCAGAAGGCTGCCTTGAGTCCTCCGAGCCTCCCACATCCTGCCTGCTTTCCTTCCGTAAGAGCTTGGAGCCCACGGTCTTCTTAAAGTCTTAAACCATCCCCATAGCAAGACAAAGTGGGCATCTTTATTCTCTATAATTAACCGCTGCCCCCCTTTCTGTTTTGCCAACAGCTATGCGGTTCAGCGGGATGACCCTGCCACAGAGCATTATTGTCTCATTCCAGTCGAATGGACCAATGATGTAGCAATGTGTGACCTTGAGACTGGAGAAGGGATTGAGCCTAACCTCATCTCTCACCCTCTTCCAGCCTCCATTCTACATCTACTTCCAGCATCTTCTTACTTGCAGAAACAGAAGAGGTAGGAGATCCTGGCCAGTCTCTCACTCTTTTCCTTCTTCACTCACATTTTTATGTCTCTTTAAGTGGCTGAGAACAGCCATGTTGACTTCGTACACCCAGAAGGTTGAGGAGAGTTTGTTATTATATCACTTTTGCTAATTTCAGGTCTGCTGATGATGACCTCAGCAAATCAACCAGATCATTTCTAACCCGTCTTGACTTTAAGAAGACTGGGTCATGCTCTGGGAAATGCAAACAGAGAAGGAGATGGCTTGCAAGACCCCTGAGGTTATCACGATAAATTGGCTTAAAAGGAAGGTAAAAGCAATTCAGAGGACCACTTGGGAAAGCCCAGACAGGATATTATCGGTGGCCTGTGTGAAGTTCCCATCACCATCTAAAGTGAAAGATGCCAGAATTATAAAAACTGACTGCATTTTTTTTTCTCAGCTCTGCTTTGTGACTTCTAAGAATTCAACTGCTTTTCTATTTTAAAATAGGGACATTGTCCTCCTTCTCAATGCATCACCTGCATCATTTGGGACATGCCCATCATCAGGTTGCTTTGACTGAACACCTTAAACATTTCATGGAAAACAGAAAATATGTGTAAAAAAAAATCTCCTTGTCACGAGATCCCATATAACACTCCAGCTTCTTTCTTTAATATGGTGGAAAAACATTCTAAATTCCCCAACAGAAGGGCAAGAAAACTGGAACCTAATTGACCATCTTGAAACATGTAATAAAAACAGACACATTAGCCACACTTCACAACAGGCTTGCTCCCTGAATATACACTAGTAATTATCTGAAGCAGTAACTGAATTCAGCTAAAATAGAGAAGGCAGCTATAGAGAAGCTCAGCGCTTCTCTCAGAAGCCCTAATCCTGCTGGATTCCAGTCCACTAGGTCATGATGCCCTAAGATTTCAGGTACAGTGGCTGCAAACTGGAAAATCTCCAAGGGGAAGAGCATTCCTGATTCTTTTTGGACATAAGTGTTGGACACAAGGCGGTAGGAAATCATTTCTAACATAGCTTTCTGAGTGGCACTTGCACCAAAAGTTGGGTATTTTTTTAACCACATCCAAGAAGTGTGGATTTATTTATTCTATTATATGCCTGCCTCAATTCCAGCAGCAGTTTGGTAGAGGTTATCAATTTAGAAATACCGGTTATTAAACTTTCAGAGCAAAGCTTTAACAGCTACAGCCTACATGGCTGTTCATATAAAACCGACGTGCAGATAAGAGGAGTTTCTTTTTCTTGTTTTATTACCTTGAGCTCCTTGACTGTAGAAGAATCTTTGAGCTGACTCAACATCCAAGAGTCTATGAGCAGACTCCACATCCAGAAAATAATCCATTTTGGGATAATCCATCCTTGAGGTTCCAAACACAGAGTTTTGAGAGAAAATGTTTACTGGAACACCTATACAGAGGAAAAAAATCCGCAACGTTTTAGATGTCAAGTATAAAGTGTATATATAGATGTACTTTAAAATGATTGAAGAAGAATATCCCATTATAATATTCTACTACTTGATTGACATTTCCAATTCTAAAGCCACCCCTCAGCATAGCTTTCCTACCATATGAGAAAATGCAGCATTTAGCCAACATTCATTAAAAGTAATATATGCTACCCTGGAAAAACAGATGATCTGATCTAAAGAGAGATAACATACCAGCCTTTCCTTGCTTTATATTCCCTGGAACATGTATTGTTAAATTCACATGCTATCCGTTTTATAAAGGTCTATTTGATAAATAGCATGATTAAGTGTCCGCCGTTGTGAGTGCTGATCCTCAGCTGATCCTGCGACTTTCGGATTCCCCTGGAGCAGGGAAAATCGCCTGGGAATCTGAGCCTCCACTCATAGATGCCTTGCGTTTATGACACTCGCTGACATATTTGCTGTACAAATGCTTTGAATTCCTTCCTTTCCAGCGATTCCCTTCAGCACATTTTATAGAGTGCTAGAGGATCGTCACCTGCCTGGCAGGGGCTGGTTTTGAGAAATAATTGTGGTTGGTAGAGCAGCAACAATGATTGCAACATTACAATGATCCCTATGATATTATCATACACTAGCCTGTCACAAAGCTAATATACTTCCCCAGAAAACATTCAGCTTGTTGGGTTCTTTTTTCAAGCCTATGTAACCTTTCCCTGATACTTGCACAAATGAATTATTTCTATTTCTGCAGAATATTTTTTTGGAAAGAATTAACAAGACAAATTCATTAAAACCAAGCTTGGAAGGCTAATCCAATTGGTTTCTCTTTCTAACAGTATGTATTTTAATTTAAGAAACCAAGTCCGGTAAGACAAAACTTTTAAAAATACCCAAAGGTACCCCAATAGCAAATATACTTACTGCAAAAAATAAAAATCAAGGGCTATCTGTCAGCGGTAAAACAAGAGTCGTTCCAGCCAGTAGTGTCTTTGATCTTGCTAAATATTCCCGGTGAAAGTAAACGATTTTGATTGTTTGATTAGAACAGTGATGAATAATGCATACAGTCCACTGGACTTCCTTTATCAGATAAAATGGCCAGAGCACGTTACCTTAGCAACGGAAGGTGACGCCAGCCTCAGCCTCTGCACCCTCCCCTGCGAAGGAAGAAAATTACCAGTTTCCCGTGTAAAACTTTGGCAGAAAATCATCAAATCCACATGTATACATCATGCAGGGCTATTCCCCAGCCCCCTATCTCTTATGCAGAGAAGTGTCATAGTCATTAAAAAAAAAAAAAAAAATTTATGTCTTCATAGTTTATTTTTATAATCCCAAATCTTAGTTTGATTTGTAGCTACAAAAGAATAGAATATGAAATGATTAAAAATTTAACATATAGAAAAGTTGTCTAGAAATTTTTGTGGGGGCACCAGTTCTCACCCTAATGCTGGCCTAAGAGTGGCAGGGAATGGGGGAGTTTAGGGAAAGGCCATTTTAGCTTAGCATATGTTAGACATTCTCCTGTTATAATTAATACACAGAACAGCCACCGGCATCTAGGCTGAAAATAACTCTTCCCTTCTGCGAATCAGTCACTGGAAGAAGCTTAAAAAGCTGTCTGAAATTTCCCAGATTCTGAAAGATGCATTATAGCATAGATCTTGTGGGAGATACTCCCCAATTCCCATCCCCGGCAAAGGAAAATTAGCCAAAAAGATATTTGAAAGAAAGAATCTAGAAGTTAGCGGATACTCACCGGCACTTGTTGACCCCTTTCAACAGGACACGGTAGAGTACAAAACAAAGCAGTGCGATGCTTCTGAGCCCGCAAGCCCAAATGAACAGCTTCTAATTTTCCCTTCAATCTCGCTTTAAGAGCACTGAGCAGAGGGAAGTGATGGATTTGCCCATTTATACTGTGATGAAATGCAACCCTTAAGAAGCGATCTGAGTGGAGCTGCTCTTTAGAACACATTAGACTGCTAATTTAAGAAAATTGAAAGGTTTTGTTTTACTGTCTTTTATGTGTTCTTCTCTGCTACCCCCTCAATTTAATTTGCATTTAAAATTATTCTCATGTCTCCTCGGCTCTCCAATGTGTGGAGTACTTTCTAATCACGAAGGCTGCTCCAGTAGGGTTTGGTGCAACACCACTTTTATTCTGAGCTGCAAAACAAGGCAGGTAGTCACAATTGTGAGCTGTTTTCTGTAACGAAATACAGAAGGCACGTTTGATGTCACCCCTTCCCCCTTGCCTGGCTTTCTTCCTTTCCTTGCTTCTGATTGCCTGGTCAAATATCCAGCGCAAATCATGCCAGCCTGCCTAAATGCATTTCTCTCTGTCCGAATGTAGCAAAATAATCCCAACCACAAAAATAAACTTTGGCTAGTATCTCAAGTTATTCTGGTTTAATATCCTTCCTACCAAACCTCAGTAAGGACTTTTAGGCACAATGCTTTGAGATCTACATGCAGGGCATAGTGATAGCCAAATGTAAGCCCTACTGTGGGTTTTCCACAACCTCTTGCACCCTTTGTTGACCAAGCAGAATTGCTCATTAGTATGGCATGGTGTGCAGTGGGTCAACTTGTTAAGAAAAGAGCATTTACATTTGAGAAGCCTCGGAAGGAAGACCATTAACACCACCCCTGTCCTCCCACTCCCTATACACGGCCCAGTTGGCTGCCCTTGAAACCAACCTGAAAGTCCTCTGCTGTTTGTCTTGTGGGCTCTCCCTCTCCCACCCGATCAGAACAAATCAGACACCAAACTGGTGCTGCAGATAGTTAAGCCTCATGAAAAAGGAAGCTGAAACTACCAATCATATGCCCTTGTAGGAAAGTCAACTATGGACTCTAATTCTCAAAGCTTTGCTCCAACCCAAGGACTGACTTCTTTCAGGTTACTTTTCTATTCAGCACCCACTGGAGACATGCTGAACACTTGACATTTATAAGAGGAGAAAGCTGTCTTCTGGTTCCTTTTACTTACTGTGAGGTGTGGGCGACAGGTTCTGAACTCGTTATTGTAATGCTACTGAAATTATAATGACTCATAGGTGAGAGAAAGAGAGAGAGAGTGTGAGAGTATAAGTCTATGCTGCTGACCAAACCTTTAGGTGAGTGCAAATGAATGTGTGATTGAAGAAAGAGAAGCTAAACTGGAAATGTGAAAAATAGAGTTGATTCCCAGGGGGTAGGTGGTGGATTTGGAAGTCAGTCATTTCTGGAGAGTTGACCAAGAAAGGGAAATTTAAAATACTTTACAAAGTGAACAAATAATTTGAAGGGGTCATGATTTAAGAAAACTCAGGAGGGAAAATTTCGACTTAAAGAAATATATTTGGGGCCGGGCACAGAGGTTCATGTCTGCAATCCCAGCACTATGGGAGGTCAATGCAGGTGGATCACCTGAGGTCAGGAGTTCAAGACCAGCCTGGCCAACATGGTGAAACCCCCATCTCTACTAAAAATGCAAAAAGTTAGCTAGGCGTGGTGATGGGCACCTGTAATCCCAGCTACTCAGGAGGCTGAGCAGGAGAATCGCTTGAACCTGGGAGGTGGAGGTTGTGGTGAGCTGAGATCACGCCATTGCACTCCAGCCTGGGTGACAGAGTCTATCTTTAAAAAAAAAAAGAGACTCAAAAGACAAGAAAGAAAGAAAGAAAGAAAGAAAGAAAGAAAGAAAGAAAGAAAGAAAGAAAGAAAGAAAGAAAGAAAGAAAGAAAGAGAGAGAGAGAGAGAGAGAGAGAGAGAGAGAGAGAGAAAGAAAGAAAGAGAGAAAGAGAGAAAGAGAAAGAGAGAAAGAGAGAGAAAGAAAGGAAAGAAAGAAAGAAAGAAAGAAAGAAAGAAAGAAAGAAAGAAA